ATGTAGGCTGTAAGTATGACTTTTCATTAATTGGAAAGATAATGTACATATTGTACATTCATTTCATAGGCGATCTCTTCTCCTATTTTTTTTAAATACCACTTGTATGATTATAAGGAACCCTAGTTGCACTGTACAGTAAGCACTGGACTCAAAGTTGACAATTCAAACCCATCAGCTGCTCTGTGGGAAAAAGATGAGGCTTTCTGTTTCTGTAAAATTGGGAATCCTGACACAGGGTCTCTATGAGTGGGAATCAACGTGATGGCAGTGGGCTTTGGTTTGTATGTTGTTGTTGTTAAGTACCATCAAGTGGATTCTGACCCATAGCGACCCTGTGGGGCTTCCAGGGAGCAGCTGGTGAGCTTGAACCACCAACCTAGCAGTTCAAAGAACTTTGCAGTCTGACACATTAGCCCGCAATGCCACACCAGGACTTGTGTACAAATTTAAATTTATCAATTCCAGCCTGTGTATTCAACTTCTTCTTTGATAATTATACCTGGCTATATGTCATCTCAAATGTTAGTATCAGTGAAGAGATCTTCTTGATTGCTGTTACCCACTGCAGTAACTTCTTCCTGAGGCTTTTTTCTCAGTAAATGCTACCCTCATCAACCAGAGTTGTTTATGCCAAAAACCTAAGGCTGTTTTTGATTCTTCCTTTTTCAGTCATACTCAAATCTTTTTAGTCTTACTTCCAGAATAATTTTAGACTCCATCCATTTCCTCTAGTAATACTCTCGTGTGAACCTCTGTCAACTCTTGTGTGTGTGACTGAAATAGCTTCCTATTTTATCTTTTTGTCTCCATTCTTCTTCCTCTCTTAATATGTTAGCTCAGCAACAGCCACAGTGATTTTTTTTTTTAAAAAAAAAAGGTAAATCAGATTATGTTGCTGACTTGCTTCCTGGTAAAATCTTTACTTTGTAATCTTCAAGGCCCAAGGCCTTGATGAAATGGATTAAGTTTGCCCCTCCAGCTTCTTTGCACTCTCCATTTCTATGCTCCAGCCCTGGTGGTCTTTACAGTTCTCAAACATTTCAAGCCCTTCCTTGCCTAATGGGCCTTTGTTTTTGCTTTCAAGTCTGCTGGAATACTCTACCTATTTAAATAGGATGGCTCACTCTCCCTGCAGGTCAGACCTCAGAGGTACTTTCTGCTGTGATTCACTCATTTACTCTTTTCCACATTATTTCAATGCAGTAATCAATCTATCATTATTTTTTTGTGTGTATTTATTTATCTTTCATTAGTCTTCAGTTTGTTTTGTTGTTGTCTTTCCTAACAGAATATAGACTCTATGGAACCAGGGACATTTTCTTGCTGGGCACATATTACATACTCAGTATAGTATTTGTGGACTATGTGACTGGACCATTGCACCAGAGTTGTAAGGTTTTCTAAATATGCTTCTGCGTTTTTGACTGTTAAGAATATACTGCTGGATTTACTACTTTTGGAGTACTGGTGTGGTGCTGTAGGATAACCACCAGGTTGGCGATTCAACCCTACCAGCCTCATTTGGTAACCCTATAAGGGATGCTATGAGTTGAATCCAACATGATGGCACTTATCAACAACAACAACAACAACAATGCTCTTATTTCCCTATTGCTCTAGTGTTACAGCAGTAACTGTGGTGTTCATCTGCATAGAATTGTCAATAGCTTTCCCAAAACGAATAGACATTTACTTTCTGCCAGGTTCTTCAATGGCGTTAAGGAAATAATGGTATTTGTCTTGATTTTATAAACGTGGATGTTTCATCATTATATTTTCCCTAATTTGGTAGTGTAGTCTGCACTCTCCTCCTCTTCTCTCCATCTCCTTTTCTTTATTTCTCTTTATACACACACCACCAATAAAAAGGTGGCCTCTGAATACTTTAGATTCCTTTTTAAAATAGATACTTAATTCATATACCATAATACTTACCATTTTAAAATATGCAATTCAGTGTTTTTACAGTATATTCAAAGGTATAACCATCACCCCTATCTAATTCCAGACCATATTGGTCACCCCAAAAAGAACTCCTGAACTCGTTAACAGTCACGTTTTTCTCCCCTCAGTCCCTGGTAACTAACCCTGATCAACTTTCCATCTCTGGATTTGTATGTTGTGGATAGTTCACCTACATGGAGTTATAGACATTCTCCTTCCCATAGCTGTTCATCTTGCATGTCTGTCTATGTATCCACGCATCAATTATTGTTAGTACTCTGATTGCAGCATAGTATTTACTTCTGTTGTCTTTCACTCTTGTATTCCATGCAGTGTCTTCCTTTGCCTTGATCATTTTTTACTCACCTCCCCCTTATTGTATATTGCCTTCACCTAGGTTAATACGTGTCTGTGTGGTGCTATAAGATAAGAACTGGACCGCAAGGTTGGTTTGAACAGAAAGGTCGGCAATTCATACCTACCAGCTGCTCCTTGGAAACTCTATACAGGGTTGCTCTGAGTTGGAACCCACTCCACGAAAATTAATAACAACCTCTAGTTACCCTCCCTTCTCCTTCCATCCCTGGTAACCATTAAAGAGTGTTTCTTTCTGTGTGTTAACATTTTCTTGACTTTTTATAATAGCGGTCCAATCCAGTATTTATCCTTTTGTGACTAAAAAATTTCATTCAGCATATGTTACGAGGTGTTTCATAGATTCCTGATTATTCTTTGACATTGCATAGTATTCTGTTGTTTGTATGTACCACAGTTTGGCTATACCTTCATCCTTTGATGAACATTTTTGTTGTTTACATTTTCTTTTTGTGTAGCTTTTTATTGTGAATTGAATAAAGGTTTCAGACAGGATCATCAGTTTTACACTCTACAAATCACACTTTGTTTCATCTCAATGATTGCAGTCCCCTCCAAACAACAATAGTTATCCATCTTCTTCCCTGTGGGTCCTATTTCTATTCCACCTGCCTTCCCAGCCCTTCTTAACTCTGTTCTTAGGTTAATGTTTCCCTTTTGATTTTGGATGATTGACCATTCCATTATTCATACTGTGCATGTCTTACTAGTGTTATTGTCCCCACTAGATGCCTATGTACTGCTTGACTGAAATTTGGTCCATGAGGGTGAGTTCCTTTCCAGACCTGAAGGGTTGTTGAGGGCCTTAGTGTCAGGTCCCTCTTTCTGACTCTTTAAGCCCAGTTTTGTGTTGTTGTTTTTTTTAATAATTCTGAGTGTTGTTCCACATATTCTGCTCTATCCAGGACCTTCTAATGTGATCCCTTTCAGAAAGTATCTGGACACCATCTAGTTCTTCTGGTCTCAGAGTCATGGAGTCTTATGTTCACATATTCCATTAGTCCTTTGAATTAATTGATTTAAAGCCTCTTCAATTATTTTTTTTCTCATCACTCTTCTTTCTTCTGCACATGGAGAGACTAATAGCTGCACCTTAGATGGCCATTCATGAGCTTTTAAGATCCCAGATGTTACTCACTAAAGTAGGATGTAGAACACTGTCTTTGTGGACTACTCTTACGTCAGTTGGCTTTGGTGTCCCCTGAGACTGTGGTCCTGACATCCCAGGCCCAGCAACTCATTGCTTTAAGATGCTGGATAGTTTTTAAGAAGTTCTCATCATCTTGCCTGCTGTATGCTCTACCACATTTATAGTTGTATTTTTAGGAAAGGTAAATACCCATGTATAAATAGCCTCTTTCATACTTTTTAATGTATTTGTGATACATGCACACATATGACTTCTGGTGTGGCTCTATAAGATAAGCACTAGACTGAGAACCACAAGATTCAAACCCACCAGCTGCTCCTTGGAAACCCTCTACAGGGTGCCTGTGAGTCAAAACCAACTCAACGACACTTAACAACAAATATATATTCAGTCAGTGTCTCTGTCCATGTATCTATGCACAGAACACTGTTGTTCCAAGGTTGTGTATATATCATTATTTACCTCTACCCTTGCATAGCTTACTGTCTTCATCTTTCTTCTGCCAACCTCCCTCCCCTTGCATATTGCCTTCCTAGTCACCCAAATGAACATGTGTCTACCCTCTAGCCGGTGTCCTGGTGTGGCATTGTGGGTTAATGCGCCAGACTGCAAAGCCGTTTGAACTGCAAGGTCGGCAGTTAAAGCTCACTAGCTGCTCCTCAAAAACTCTATACAGGGTTGCTATCGGTCAGAACCAACACGACAGCACTTCACAACAACAACAGCCCTCTAGCCTGTGAATTACTCTCCTTCCCTCCCACCTCTGGAAACTATCAAGGAACTTTTTATTTAGTATGAAAACCTTTTCTTGAGTTTTTACAGTAATGGTCTAATACAATATTTGTCCTTTTGTGGCTGACTAATTTCACTCAGGATAACGTCCTCCAGGTTCATTAGTGTTATACAGTGTTTTGCAGTATTGTTAGTCATCGTTACTCTTCAGTATTGCCTACTGTTCCATTGTGTATATGAACCATAGTTCGTTTATCCATTCTTCCATTGATGGGCATTTAGTCTGTCTTTATGCTTTGAAAATAGGGCTGCGGTGAGAGGACAGAAATGTTCTTAAGGTTTATCCTTTGTACTTATTTTATAAATGTACTCTTTTTGTTGTTGTTGTTATTTTCCTTATAAAGTAATTACCATTAAGTTAAAAAGTTTTAGGATTAGCATGCCCTGCTTATATTCGAGATGTAGTCATTCTATTTGGGAACTTTACCAAATTTGAGAATGGTTTTTAAGGATAATTTAATTATTCCAGTTGTTTTAATCTGTATTATTGTACTGATAAAAAGATGCAATATAAACTTAGCACAGACAGTCTTTATGACATCTACATTTACATTTAGCATTTGTTTTCTGTGAATAAGGAGAAAGAAAATAATGAAATATATAAGTGAACATGTTGTCCACAGTGTTCCAGTTAAATGTGAATTGAGTTCTAGTTATGTTTCAAATATTTGTGGGCAAATATTTAATAGGCAGTAGAAATTTTTCATTGCTTTTACTTTGCTACTTTTTTTTCTAGGTTGGTTCTTACTTGAAATCTCCAAAATACCCTATTTGGATCGTTGGCAGTGAAACTCACCTCACCGTATTTTTTGCCAAGGTACGCTTGTAGCAGATTGTTTTTCTTAGTGTGATATCAGGCAAACAAGTAAAGTGAGTCCATATTTAGTTTGAATCTTTTGTGCAAACTTCAGTTTATTCCCATTTACAAATGGCATCTTCTAAAATCTAAGAAATTAGTCTTAACGTATTGTTGGAATCATATATACTAAATAACTGCCATAATCTAGTTGTAGTTTCTCTACCTTTTCTGACTTGAGAGGTTTAAACTTCTTTTACTCAGAAATCACTTGTATAATGACAAAATAATTGATTTCTTTTTTAAGCTTCAGGTTGCATTTTTCTTCTAGATAAGCTAAAAATCTAACTTACATGATATAAAATATTTTCATTATAAAATCTATTTAACTATAAATTTACTAATCAATTGTATGAGCCCTTGTCTGGCACTGTAGGGTTAAGCAGTGGACTTATTGTTATTTTAAATAAGTTTATTTAAAAATTCATGCTGCAAAGCCATTCCTAAATCCTAACTTTTACCTATAAGAATTCTTTTTCTTCATTTGAGTGGTTGGAGTCTGACTACTTTAGTTTGAATCTCAGCCTTGCCATTTCCTAACGTCTCTCAGCCTATTTGAAATAAGGATTAGTAATTAAGGATTAATAATAGTTGTCAGGCTTAAATATACAGTATTTAGCAATGCCTATACAAGTAAGTCCTGGAGCAAAATGAGGCTTTCTGCTTCTGCAAAAGATTTAACGTCTTGAAACCCTGTGCAGGGTTGGTTTGAGTTGAAAGCAACTCCATGGCACTTAACTGCATTAGCAACATATATGTAAATGTTCAGTAAATTTAATTGTTGTCATCATTATCATTGATGTCATTATTCAACTAACTTTAGTAAACGTCTGTATATGCATAAATGTTGTTGCTAGATGTCAGGCTGAAGGAACAAATATAACACTGTACTGCTAATCACAAGGTTGGTGGTTCAGTTCCACCACCCGAACTACAGGAGAAGGATGAGACTTTTTGCTTTCACTAAGATATGTAGCCTTGGAAACCCTATACTGGGTCACTATGAGTCGGAACTGACTTGATGGCACAAAAACAATAATATGTTACTGATTTTTGTATTTACTTTTATTATGCTGGCAAAAATCTAGCTAACTAATACCTTTTTCTAAAACAGGGAAAAGATAAAGTACACATATAAACCTGTACCTTAGTGGTATGTTGCATGTAATTTGATAGCATATTTGAATTACAGGAACTGAATAACTTTTGATTCTTCTGTAAGTTCATTGTTTGACTAATTTTGTTTCAAATATTTTAAATATCCAGAAGAAAAAATTCTAATTTACATGTAGGCTGTGTTTTCAAACCAATGTTTTTTTGGTTTGTTTTTTAATCTGAAGTGCAACCCTATTCTTTAGGGTCTGGAAAATTAATAAATTATGAAAATCTATAAATTTAAATATAGAAGACAATAAGAAGAAAATACTTTAAATCTAAAATATAGCAAAGGATATTTTAAAACTGATTTTGTTGTCAAAACAGCAGGAAGGATTTCACTTAAGGGAAATATCCATTGCATAATGTCAGCAGTGTTGATTGAATTATGTGAATTTGCATACTTTTTAATTTAAGAATCTGAGTAAATTAGATCTGTTGACAGAGTGATGGGAATGAATTATGCCTACCTTGTTATGAAATTCATTGAAAAATTGCTTTATCTTTTCATTCCATTTTTCACAAACTTATGAAGCCCCCTTGTATACTCCTTTTATCCTATTAATTTGTTGTTGTTCCTATAGCTATCGGTTGTCCTGTTGCATTTATTATACAAAGCATACTTTCTATGTCACACACTGTTTTTACATATGCCATGGTATACAGTGAGCTTTGTCTGTGATTTGTCTTTTTTATCCCCATATTCACAAATCCCAGCTTTGTACAATGAAAAGTCATATTGGAGACGTGGAGTACATGCAAGAGAAATGCATTCCAATTGAATGCCTTACGAAATATATTCATTCTGTATTATATAAGTTAGCCAAGACTTTTATGTGTATTTAATTTGTTTGCATTCCTGAAACTACTGATAGTCATGATAGGGAAGTGTCTGTACACAGGAAATGAATATAAGAATTTTATAATAAGACTTATGATTTGTAAACTATTACAGATGTAAAAAATCACCTCTACCATATACGAATCGGGCTGTGAACCTTAAGGTCAGCGGTTCGAAACTACCAGCCGCTCCGTGGGAGAAAGATAAGGCTTTCTACTCCCGTAAAGATTTACACCCTTGGAAACCCTGTTACAGGGTCGCTATGGGTCGGAACCGACTCGATGGCACTTAACAACAACAACAACAACCATATACCTTATCTTGCTTTTAGAACTCATGACATTTATTCTATATTTTTACTTTAAAAAAAAAAACAACTTTTTTTTATACTTGGCTTTGTATTGTCAGGATCTAGTATATGGTTTGGCACATAGTAAAGGTGATTTGACTCATTAGTTGAATTATTATTTTGCACTTGGGTTCCATTGACAATTATCCTATTAAAAAATTGTTTTATGACTCATTAAGCTTCTTAAACATTTAGGTACTTTAATTATTTTTAAATGGTTGAATTTGAATTTTTTGAAGATAGTTTTTTTTAAAAAAGAGTTATAACTTAAGAAAATACACCTGTAATAAAGTAATATAAAGCTTGTTGTTGTTATGTGCCGTTGGAGTCGGTTCCAACTCATAGGGACCCTGCACAGGGTTTCCTAGGCTGTAAATCTTTACAGGAGCAGAACGCCTCAGCTTTCTCCTGCGGAACAGCTGGTAGTTTCAAACTGATGACCCTGAGGTTAGCAGCCCGATTTGTAACCACTTAGATTACTTAAATTGTAAGTGAGATACTACTTATAACATATATTGTGTTGAATGATATTTAAACCTTAAATAAAATAGTCTTTCTATACAGTTTGTCATACAGAAAATGCTAGAAATTTTGACTGTTCTTGACAATTATAAGAAATACCATTATTTGGTCATTTTCTTTGTTATTTCCATATCTGAGCAAGTAATTCTGTGATTGTCAGTTTGTTTTTGCTGTTTGTTTTTATTTTTGAAGTTTGGTTAGTTTGCTTAAAGTCTAATTTAAATGTTAATTATCTTTTTATATAAAACTGTATGTGTGATTATCTAGATATGTATTTTATGTGCCAAGTTCTTTTTACTGGTTGTAAAACTAAGTTTAAAAATAGCATAATTTAAGTTCATAATTTATAAGTCATTTAATAATTTGGCATTGTAAAATGCCTTTGAAAAGCAATGAATTCTTCATGTGACTTATGCACTAGAGATGAAGATACTTGAAACTGTCTTCACTTATTTATATAATCATTTACTGAATACTTACTGAGCATTCCATATGTGCCTAGCCCAGTGTGTGACTACAGTGATGATCAAAAATAAGTCTGGATCCTGGTCTTAGGGAGATTTATATTTTACTTCATCCCATGTTTAGATTCAAAATTTCAGATGTGATGAATGCCAACAAAGCATATGTCTATAATGCTGTAAGAATTTATCTTAGTTTTTGAAGATTGATAATAGTTTCTTCAGCAGAAGAATTGATGTTCAAAATTAGGAGTGGGGCATTATACTAGAGGAAGAGGGAAGAGGAGCATTCTCTGTATAGGAAGTAGTAGGAGCAGGCAAAAGTGGGGTGAGAACAGGCTGAATTACTGAGAATCAAGATGAGGAGCACAATGAGGCGGTTATCCTAATTGGAACAGCAGCTACTGACTTTTAAAATATTATGGTAGGAATAGTTTGGGAGTAGTAGGAAAGAAGGAATCAGGACTAACTTTGCTTTTTGAAAAGGTTACTCTGGAGTTTGGAGAACAGATAAATTACAGAATAACCAGAGGGGAGGAGTACCTAGATGGCACAAATGGTTAAGCCCTTGACTGCTATCCAAGATTTTGTGGCAGTAGGAGCCCACCCCAGACATTCCTAGGAAGAGAAGTTCCACTGTGCACACATGGAGTCAACTCTCACTCCTAGTGACTGATTACAGCTTGAGAAATCCTCTGTCTTACAGGGTCTCTATGAGTTGGAATCCACTGAATGGCAGTTAGTTTATTTAATGGCAC